GTGTCCGTGTGCTCATGTATATACGAAAATGGTAATTCTGTCGGTAATACATAGATGTCGGTAGACCCGCTACGGGATCCTCTTAAATCATCTATTGTAGACTGGGACTTAGACATGCATGTTCTCTGGGTTGCAACAGGCCGTCATAAAATTGAGAGCTTTCCAGCAAGCGACACAAGTGTCGTTCTGTCTTTATTATTCATTGAATGCGAAGAAAGACAGAACGACATTTGTGTTGACTTGTGTCGCTTGCTGGAAAGCTCCCATTGTTTCAGGCAGAAAATCAAGCTGGACGATTGCATGATGGAAGATGCGACGCAGACGACGGCGCACGAGCCGCAGAGCGCAGCGACCGACGATTCCCTGGAGGTCGCCTTGAAATCCTGGGAGCGCGTTATGGACACCGCCGCCAAGGTGCGCGAGAGAATTCCCCGGATTCTGTATCGCTTCCCCGATAGGAAAATGTCTCAAGTATCGTGTAACAATTGCATCGTCCGAAAGGTGGAAATTTCACAATAATCGCAATAGGATGATTCATCAAAACGCAGCTGTCTTGCTGATACACTGAAAGGTGTCCATTTCTGCATACATACGTCGCTCGAAATATGTACGCATAATTCCAGCACGCCGAGCTTCATCCAGAATTAGTCACACAGTTTGCTAAATGTTTTCCTATCGGGGCTGGGAATCCCCGACGCGATTACTCGCCGCGTTTGACAACGGTATTTTTAGATCGGCTACAGAGAAGGGATCCAGGACGGAGGTGACTCGGTGCTGCAAGAGGGATTCGACATCGGTTTCAAAGACGGCTTTGAGGCCGCTTTCCCGCTGGGAAGGCTCAAGGGTCTGGCCGTCGCCGCAACACCCACGCGGGAACATCCCGTGCACGTGCTCGCCGCTCTCGACAAAACCAGACGTGGCGCGTGTAGGATATGCGACGTGGGGTCCTCTAATCAGCGTGAGGGCATCGCGTTCGAACGCGCGTTGGACGAACAGAGGATGCACTCCATGGAAGTGCTGGCCAGACTACACATGTACTTCGAACCGATCCTGAAGAAATTGGGCATCGACATCAATATGTTAGATATACCTAAGTGACGTTTTAACGAATAATTGGTGAGATTATTGAAAGTCCAGTAATATCTTTGTTGGCATGTTGCTATAAAAATTTAATTTCCTATAGAAATTTTTATTGAGACACTCGGACAGCTCCGCGACTTAATTGTACAGAGATTATTAATGATTTTTAGAATTTCTTTTATAAATATAATCCCTCGGGAGAACCTTCCTTCTTCCGATATAGCACGCTCTCCTTGGACTTCTTGAAATCGTCACTGGTCACCTTCATACGTCGTTCACGCAGAGCCATTAAACCAGCCTCGGTACATATTGCCTGAAAAAACAGAGTTTTCCAAGATCCGTTCTAATATAAAGCGACAAGAAAAGCTCGCGGTATAGAAGGCAGGGATTGATATTTTTCAAGACTCTCCCACCTTGATATCCGCGCCAGAAAGATCGTCCTTCGCCATAATTAATTCCGCAAGATTCACATCGGGCGCCAGGGTCATTCTGCTCGTGTGGATGTTGAAGATTCGTCTCTTAGTTTTCTCGTCCGGTAGCGGGAATTCTATTTTCCTATCGATACGACCCGGTCTGATTAAAGCGGGATCCAGGGTCTCTATTCTGTTGGTGGCCATAACTACTTTCACGTCGCCCCTGCTGTCGAATCCTGGTAAGAACAATTTGTCAGGTAACGTTCGACGTCAAGAGAATTTCTTTTGCATGAATCGCTTGAGAAATCGGCGTACCGTCCAGTTGATTAAGCAACTCCAGCATGGTTCTCTGAATCTCCCTCTCGCCGCCGCTGTTGCTGTCGTATCTTTTCGTACCTACCGCGTCGATCTCGTCTATGAAGACGATAGAAGGCGCGTGCTCCTCGGCAACTCGGAAGAGCTCTCTCACGAGCTTCGGGCCGTCCCCTAAGTATTTCTGTATGAGCTCGGAACCGACGACCCTCAGGAACGTGGCCGACGTCTGATTGGCCACAGCCTTGGCGAGCAGCGTCTTTCCTGTGCCGGGTGGCCCGTAAAGTATGACGCCCTTCGGAGGCTTGATGCCCATCTCCTCGTAATATTCCGGATGGGTCAATGGCAACTCCACGGACTCCTTAATCTCCTGGATTTGAGTATCGAGGCCTGAAAATACCCGCATTTTTACATGACATTTTCTTTCCAAAAGTGGCACTTGTTCAATAACTTACCGACTAAACAATCTAATTTGTCATGTTACTTCAACTCGGTATATTTCAAATTTTATGCTCGAGTCGAGGCTCAATTTGAAATTATACTCGAGCTCTCGACTAAAAATTATAACAAATTAATAAACGATGAAAAGAATTGTCAGAGGACTTTAGGCTGGCAGATGGTTTCTTTATTTAAATCCGGACGTTTCGACCATACGGTTTGTGGTCCTCCTCGTGGAATTCAACACTAATATCACGTCATTGATATTAAACTAAAAAGCACAGGAGTTTGACATCCATCTCTGGGCATCACTCAGAGAACTGCTAGAAGGCACGTCCATCCGATGTAACGACCACAATAGGACTGGCCGTTCTAACATAGTTTTCCAAGTGACGCCCAGAGACGGACGTCAAACTCCTGTGCTTTTTAGTTTAATATCAAAGACGTAATATTATTGTTGAATTCCTTGAGAAGGACCTGCATAGTCGAAACGTCGGATTTAAATAAAGTTTGACGTCCGTCTCTGGGCGTCACTTGGAAAACTATGTTAGAAGGGCCAGTCCTATTGTGGTCGTTACATCGGATGGACGTGCCTTCTAGCAGTTCTCTGAGTGATGCCCAGAGATGGATGTCAAACTCCTGTGCTTTTTAGTTTAATATCAATGACGTGATATTATTTTCTTATTTCTCAGCCTGGCCGAGGTAATCGTTTTTCTTTCGCAATAAGTTAAAAATAAAAATTATTTAGACATTCAACATCCTGCCGCGGCTCTTCGATCCTCATTCCTTCGAATTAAAAAATCTCGACAGTTTTGCAATAAGTGCAACAACATAACTACAGCTTCAACAGACTGCACGTAGACGGGCGTAAAACATTTATGTGTGCACCTCCGATATCAGTGTAAGTCTCCTGAGGAGCCTTTTCCAGCTTCATCACCGTAACCATGGGATCCGTGTCGTCACCCAGGACGCCGACGACGGCGTGCACTTTGTGATTCAACAGCACGGAGCAACCAGGCTCCAGCTGATCCTTGTCCACGAACGACAGGATGGATACATAGTGCTCGGAGCCGACCGAGGTGGACACTATCGCGTGATTGTCGTCGATGATCTCCTCCAGCGTGCCGACGGACATCGGCGTGCCACGGAGGTCGTCCACCTTCGACCTCTCCTCCTCGTTCTTCTCCTCCTGCGGCTTGAGGCGCTCCTGATTCCTGATGAACTCCTCCTCCATCAGCAGGTAATCCTTTATGCGCTCCATCTTGAGCAGCTTCAGTCTGCAGCGCGTGTGAGGGGTGACCTGGGGCAGCTTGAGCGCCGCGTCCGGCCCCTTGGTGCGCCTCTTCTTTTTGCCGACTCTCGTAGGGATCGGCGGCTCGTACTTCTTCTTCTTGTCTTTGTCATCCTTCTTGTCTCCGCCGCTGCCGCCAGTCCCAGATTGATTCTGACCCTGTTGGTTTCGTTGTCGCTTAAGAATCCCGTTGATAAAATTAACGGCGCGTTAAGGGGGAAGCGTGTTCCCGTTCGAGAGAAATTTCTTTCGCTTGAAATTGTAGGAGAGAGAGAGAGAGAGGCAGGGCAAAAACGTTCAAAGGATAACCTAAACGATCGACGAGCAGGACGGACTTTGAAAAATTCGCGACAACGCGATCGCTTTCTTTTTATGCCGGACAGCGAAGCGGCGTCCTGCGTTAAATTAATGTTCGCTCGATATTTTGACAGAGAAGGAGACTCACCATCCTCCGCCACGACACTCAACCTGGCTTGACTGCTCCTCGAAACGGCGGAGTCATTCGCCAGCGACTCGATTGTGCGCAGTCGATAAGGAAAGATCGACTTCCGCCCTCGCGTTGCCGGATCGATAGCGAGTCTCGATCGCGAGTGAGGGAACTTTCATAAAGTTCTCCAGGCGATTCGCGCTTTCCCGGGGTACTTTGCATACGTAACATCATATTTATTAGCCGAACAGAATTAAACGCGCAAAATATTCTCAATCTTCGGACATGAGAAACGATTACGATCGCGCCAAGAAGCCGGCAAGGATCGTTCGTGCTTTCTCGTTTTCCGAGATCACGAAAAATTCTACAAAGAAATCGACTCGAAGACCGTAACTCACTCGCATAAATTCTAATAGATCATTTTAACTGTCGATTAATCGTCGCGATTAATCACCAACGCGGCACCGTCGAAATGAAACGAGATTCGATGTTTACTCAGCGTGCTTTATATGCGGTTTCTCGTTAATACACAGTATTGAGCGATGTACAATGTATCTTACAATGGGCCTAAGAGAGCACTCGCGCATCGTCGCGGATAAAGCCGCGGTCTGACGACGCAGAACACGGCGATGAGAGACGTCGCGAGATAACGCCGTTATCAGCACGCGGAGTGGATTCGTACGAAATACCCGTTCGCCGCTAGGACCTGGCAGTGTGCTCTTATATACGTAAACGCCCCGTTCGTCTCGCTCCACACAACATGTTGATTTGGTTTATCTTTTTATTTAATAAACAGCCTTTTGATTTACAAGAACACGAATGCCCCGCTCTCTCTCTCTCTCGCTCTTTCTCGAGAATGCGACAGACTTTCCCGCCGAGATGCTCGGCACAAGTGCAAACAGTATCCGTATTTAAATATCTATCGAGCCACGTTACTTATCCTACGACGCCCGCGGTGTGATTCAACAACGCTAAGGAGACTTAGATTGGTGAGATTTTATTTTAGCTTGTGGATCTACATACTAAAGTACTTAGGGATTAAGTACCTTCTAGCCCTTCCTCGGCCTCGGCCTCACCGCGCTCCGCCTTTCGACAGCGGCGTGGCGCGATACGAGAACGCGATTATCGGTTATTCGGCAATCGTTATCGGGTACCGTGTTGGGATTTTTTTTTTTAACAAAAGTTACGTCGCCTGGCGTAATATACAACGTGCGAGGCAAGATGCGTGTCTTGTGACACTTTCGCTGCAAAAATTCAGAATAACGGACTAGTTGGCGTGTTCGTTTGTGACCGCACTTGTCACGGTCGTCCCACGTGTTGGTTGGAGATTGACGGGATTCGAAACGGGATGTCGAGGTACGTTCCAATGATTAGAGGTTTCCGGAAACGGGACGAGCTCCCTGCCGAGTTTCCGGACTCTCGCGTCGCGTTCTTGCTTGTCCACCGTGATCGTTAACGCGCGGGTTAACGCGCGCGATAAACGTATCCCAAGTTATTAAAGGCCAGCCAAGATAACTCGAGGATCCTCCACGGCGGCTTTGATCTTCCTCAGGAACATGACAGCCTCGCGTCCGTCGATCAGCCGATGATCGTACGTAAGAGCCACGTACATCATTGGCCTAATAACAACCTGGGGAATTCAGACGCAGTTGTTAAGCGACGCAATCGTAGGCTTCGACGATTCAAATTAAAGGCTCGTAAATTACAGGATTGAAGAGATCAAAGGAAACGAGAAACGAAGGGTTCCTCCAATCGAAGAATTAAAAAGGATCACGACGCAAATTTCGACGAAAGTTACCTCTCCCTTAACGGCGATCGGTCTGTCGAAGACGCCGTGCATGCCAAGAATCGCGCTCTGCGGCGGATTGATGATGGGGGTGCCCAGCAACGAGCCGAAAACGCCGCCGTTGCTTATCGTGAAGGTGCCGCCGTCCATGTCCTCGACGGTGATCTTCCCTTTCCTGGCCTTCTCGCCAATGCCGGCCAGCGCGATCTCGATCTCGGCGAAGTTCTTGTTCTCCACGCTGCGAAGAACCGGCACGACGAGCCCCTTCGGCGTCGCGACCGCCACGCTAATGTCTACGTAATCTCTGTATACGATGTCGGTGCCGTCTATCACGGCGTTCACCACGGGCTGGTCTTTCAGAGCGTAGGCACTGGCCGCGACGAACGGACTCATGAACCCAAGTTTGATACCGTACTTTTTCGTGAACGAGTCCTGGTGCGTCTTTCGGAATTCCATAATGCGACTGCAAATTCATAATAAACGTGAAATGAAAGGCAGAAGAATACGAAGCCGGTATTCAGGTACCACTTTCTCGCTAATAAGCGAGACGATCCCTCAAGTCACCTCATATCAATTTCATTAAACGTAGTCAGCATAGCGTTCGTGTTCTGCGCATCCTTCAAACGTTCCGCGATACGCAGTCGCATCCTATTCATCTTCACTCGCTGTTCTGTCCTGGTGCCGATTATCTCGCGTGCGTAATCGGTAGGAGGTAGCTGAACCTTCGCGCCTTCCAGCGACTGAAAGCGACGTCGTTCTCACATAAATGCTCGCAAGTCACGTGACGCAACGGCGTCACGGGCCTTATTTACCTGAGCGTGTTTGATAGCCGCGACCGGCATGGACGCGCCAGGCGCCTGCGAAGGTGCCGGTCGAGCGGGCGGAGGCGAAACCGGCGCCGGTGCGGGTCTCGGCGGCGGTGCCGCCGCGCTCGGTGGTGGCGACGGTGCCGCGGCCGGCGGGGGCGGTGGCGGTGCCGCGGCAGCGGGTTTCGCCGGCGCTGGAGCAGCCGCGGCGGGCCGCGACTCCTTCGCCGCGGGCGCGGCGCCGCCGGTCGCGCCGATGTCGATGCTGCACAGCTTCTGTCCCGGCTTCACCGTGTCGCCGTCCTTAACGAAGAGCTCCTTTACGACGCCGGACCCGGGCGACGGTACGGGAACCGAAGTCTACGGGCAAATTCTCCTCGTAACAATCGCGATTACACCCCTCTCGCTTTAAGACCGAGAAGGAAGCGGGGATACTGGATGCTTCACCTTGTCTGTCTCGATCTCGCAGAGCACGTCGTCCTCCTTCACCTGGTCGCCGGGCTTCTTCTCCCACCTCACGTCGCCCTCGCTCACGCTCTCGGCGAACGGCGGCACCACGACCTCCCTGATCTCCCCTGTTGAGATAACGCGAATTACATACGAGCGGGCCCGACCTGGATCTCGGAGATAAGACGCGCTGTACTTACATAGCGCCGCGGTCGAACGTATATGTCTCGCTTGGCTTATCCAACAGTGGTTCGCCTTGTACCTTCTGCATCTGCAAAGGCAAGGGTGCACCTTAATCTCTCTCACTCCGCCTGCGTCTCGGGGTCTCGAGAGTTGGCGAGTAATTAGCGCAGCAACGAAAAACTAAGATTCCTAAGCGCGCGGGGCCGTTGTTGAAGTGTCTGTGCCAACCATAGATATATAAAAGATATACTGCTTATGAGGTAGTGGGGGATGTCCTCCTGAGGGAAAAGGACAACACCAATTTATTTGGGTATCTATCTTCTTCTAGTGTACGTGATCACGTGGGCACGATCACGTGATCGCCTTCAGATCACGTCCACTAGAGGAAGACAGATACCCAAATAAATTCATGTTGTCCTTTTTCCCTCAGGAGGATGCCCCCACCTAGGGTTCCACTGCCTCATAAACAGTCTATCTTTTATATGTCTATGGTGTCAACGGCACGTTTGGGAACCAAAAAATATAATGTGTGCAGAACAGCGGCACGGACGGTGCTACTTACAACGGGACTTTGGCGCTGGGTACACGTTCGGCGTGGACAACTGCAGTGCGCCCTACAAAAATGATTCATTACAGTTAATCGGTTTTTTTTGTCCCCCTCCGACGAGCTCTCTCTCCCAATCGACCTTGCTGTTTTTCATAGCTGTCGCTCGCGAAATCCACGTTATATTTCATCGG